CCAGTTGCTATGATGAGCACTGACCATCTGGGAGCAGACGCTCCAACCAGTAGGTTAGTTTGCTGCTGGGGTCCAGCTGATCAGGACTGGATGAGACAGGCCAGATACTCCCTGGAGTCCTCGCACGATCCCTCCCTGGCTTGTCAACCTCATGCATCTCTGTGTCTCTCCCTGGCCCCAATTGTGCACCGGTGGGGTCCCTCAGCCTGGCCTGCACCCTCTTGCAATCCGGGACCTCTTGGAGGATGTCAGACATCCAATTTAGGCCCGATCCCACAGGTGAGGCCAAGAGACTCCACTGGTGCACAAATATGTATATTTATATATGTATTTGAATCTTGTTACTCAAAGCATGTTCCTAAGAGCAGTATCATGGTTAAGATCATCACCTAGGATTACCAGGAAGTTCATAAGTACCTTAAAGTTTGAGAAACAAATGACATAAACAAATGACATAAAACACATATCTACATATTTTATATAGTATTTTCTAAACTAACAGTTGCCACTTGAGTCTTGCTTTCCTTTCTTCAATACAACAGATATTTCTTCATAACCAGAAGGAATTCTTATAAGTAGTCAATCTCCTTCCATTTGTATATTCAATATAAGTTTGGTGAATAGATGTTGCTATCTCATAATATAGATATATACCTTAAAATTTCTGTATTTCAAAATAAGCTTCTGCCAAGTTAACTTTCTAAGAATTCACCAATGACAAGTAATTCCTGATGCCTTCTTGATTTTTTTCTAGACTGACAGGATTGTTCTAAACAATTACTCAACTTTCAGAATGAAGGTGGCAATCTTGATCAGAGGAATCATAACAGTATCAATAAAACAAAATAGCCACTGCAGGGAAAACTTTTTTTCTTGATGCTATAGAAAGATTCTTCTCTGAGTAATTTACTGATATATACATAGTTAGTAATATTAGTTTAAGCATTTCACAAATTTCAGAAAAAAATATTTCAATCCTCGTGGCAATGTTCCCCACTCTTTAAATATCCAAAGTGAAGTTTTGTGTGTTTTTTTTAAAGTTTTTCTTTATTGATTATGGTATCACATAATTGTCCTCATCCCCCCTTTCCCACCCCAACCCCTCCCCATGTATGCCCCCCATCCCCTGTTGTCCATGACCACTGGTTAAGCTTATATGCATGCATACAAGTCAAAGTGAAGCTCTTAATTCAAAGCAATAAATAGTCTTTCCCCAAACTAACAATTAAAATATTTAATGATTACTTCCAACATGTTTTAACATGTTTTAACATGTTTTAACATGTCAAGAAAGCTAAAGCTCTCGCAGTTACCATGGAATTATGTGTTCACATGACTTCAATTTATCTACCTATCCACATTGGAGAGTCCAAAAATTAATCATTTAAATACTGACATCCCATTCTGGCCTTCTCTCCTCACTTTTTGGATAAGCCAATTCTCAACCATAGCACATTAATGACAGATGATTTTTCTGTTTCTGTGCCCAAGCGGCAAAGCACTGCTTAAAATAATAATGATAATAATAATGATGGTGATCACACATTCTATCTATTTTCTACTGAGCTTTTTCCTCATTTGGCAATTCCTCACTATATTACCTCATTTTCAGATGTATGGCTTAATTATTAGATTCATAACAGTTTTAGAACTAAAGAATCTCAGAGATATTACTGCCAATTCCACCATTTGAATAATATAAGCTAAGCTAGAATTTAAAGGACTATAGCTTTACAAACATTGAGCCAATTTACTTGAAGCCCCTCATGCAGCCTCAAGGCTAGCATATTTTTTACATCTTAATCCATTCACTACACACACCTTAGGAGCTAATCTACAGAGAAATGAAGGACTCAAACTGAAACTACAATGACTGAATGTTTCATCTTGGCCATATACTAGCTACATGCATCTGGACCAATCTCTGTGCCTCAGTTTCCTAACTTCAAAATTGGTATACTAGTACTATCTAACTCATTGGACTGTGACCACTGACCAAGTTAAAAAGCATTAGACCTGCACATATGGTAATTAAGTGTTATCATCATTCTCTATAGAACTTCGGCAAATGAGAACATGCCCCTATCTTCTACCTTTACATCCCCATTGTTCCAAACTCTCTCCACATCCAAGAACTCAGTTGCTCCAATCTTCTCTCCCTTCAAGAGCTTTAAGCAAAACTCTTCCACTCTATTTTTCCTTTTTCTTTTTGTTTGATATCAAGATCCTTATATTAGTCTTATTTTCTCATACCTATTTCATTCCTTAGCTCTGGGATTTTCGTTCTCTGATCTCCAACACTTATTCCTCAAGATATGCTACCAAATGCCAAATCTTTATCTTCAGTGTTAAGCTCCCAAGCTCTAAATCTGTATCTCCAAGCATATGACAATTTTACTTGAGCATTTTATTATGATCTCACACTCAATTATCCTCACATGTAAAATAATTTTTAAGGTGCTTGCCAACTATAAAAACTTCCAATATAATCTAAAACAAAATTTGTCATTTCCTCTACTCATTCAAAATCAGTTTTCCATTATTATTTCACAATATTTCTATTGGTGGCACCATATAATTCTCCCAAAAACCAAACACCATCTAGTCTTACTTTATAATTTCTGACATTATCCATTCATTTCTAGCCTAATGCTTTACTCAGATTTTCCTGGGTTTTCTCCTGTTTCCAGCAAACAACCCCCCAATTCTACATTATATAAATTCCATTTTAATCTTCCTAAAATGTCACATCATCATCTACTTAAAAACATCCAATAAACTTCCACTGTTAAATTCAAATCCCTTAACTTGGCATTCAAATTTTTCTCCAATTGGTTCCCACCATTCTTGCAACACCAAAATCCACTAATTCTCATACATTATTATATACCTCAATCAAACTCTAGTTACCACATAAGTGAACGATGAACATGTCTGTATAATCATGTGATACCTGCAATCTCTAGAATGCCTTCCACATTGTTCAGTTATATCCCAAATTTATCATGGCTCACTTCAATTTGATCCTTTCTCATGAAATCTTACAGCCCAGGGTAACTTATTACCACTTAATTAAATAATGCCTCACAGTTATCTAATGTGTGTATCATCTCTCACATCAGAGTAAAAACAAACTTATGAATCATTAGTATCATGTATCTCTTTGCATCCACCGTATTTTCCTACTAGGAATTGCCTGAAGAACATACCACCTGCTTTATGAGATACTAGCTACTGCTCATGTAATCCCACTTAAGAGAAAGGACTTGCAGAAGGAATAATAGAAATAAAAAGTAACTATTTTGTAACACTAGAGTAATAATGATTCATGCAAGAATCATCAATGGATGCTAAACTATCACATGAAAGTTTCTTGGGGAACAGGATATTTATACAGTCTCTATTATATCTGAACAAATTACTTATGAATTACAAAGGGAAAAAAAGGTACCTTTACAGTGGAGAAATCTGGCGGACACCAAGTGATCAAAGTTAACATCACCAATAATGGGATAAACTGACATCATGTGCCTCCTGATGTGATGCACTGAGGACACAACATCACTTATGTATTATTCCTGCCAAAAATGCATAACCTGAAACTAGTCATGAGGAAACAATCAGACAAACCAAAAACTGAGGGACAATCTACAAAAAACCTGAACTATACTGTTCAAAAATGTCAATGTGTTGAAAGACAAAGAAAGGCTGAGAAATTGTGTATGTGATCCTGGATTGGATCCTGGATCAGAAAACTGAAATAAAGGATATCACTGCTACACAGGACAAGGGCGAATTTATATGTGGACTGTATCAGGTAATAGTATTATATTAATGTTAAACTGCCTGAATTGGAACATTGTTCTTTGGTTAAGAGAATTTCCTTGTTCTTAGGCTAAATATACCCAAATATTTGAGAGTAAATAAATCTAAATTATATTACTTAAATGTTCAGCAATAATATCTGTAATTTGAATAACATGTATCAATAAACAAATTGGACAAAAATGTGGCAAAATATTAATAACAGGTGAATCTACAATGAGATCCTTGTACTATTGGTACAACTTTTCCATTTTCTCAAAAATAAAATTTAAGCCAGGACCGGTTTGGCTCAGTGGATAGAGCGTCAACCTGCGGACTGAAAGGTCCCGGGTTCGATTCCGGTCAAGGGCATGTACCTTGGTTGCAGGCATATCCCCGGTAGGGGGTGTGCAAGAGGCAGCTGATAGATGATTCTCTCTCATCGATGTTTCTAACTCTCTATCCCTCTCTCTTCCTCTCTGTGAAAAATTAATAAAATATGTTTAAAAAATAAATAAATAAAATGTAAAAAAAATGAATACCCTAATACCACACAAAAAGTTTTGAGTTTTTATTTATCTGTGGCATTTACATCTTATCTGACAATCTTAAAGCCAGACATACTTGCAGTGGAAGAGTTTGCTTTATAAAAACATATGTTCTAAAAAAACAAATACATCATTTTGGAACCAAAGAACTATTTGATAATGTTAACAGCCCACCACTATTTTCTTTTTAATTCGCATTTCTAAAGTAAAACTCAATTAAAATAAATAAAGTCAGTTCCAAGTGGTAAAAAGTCTTAGATAAATAACAATGTAGTTTTAATATTTTCAACTATGCAGAGAAAGTAGAGAAAGCTAATATTGGCTGATTAAGCATTCTAAGGAAATAATGATGCTTTATAATTAATATACTAATAAGTAAGCATTTGTAAATTACTGAAAGTTTGCTTCCTCAACTATGATTATAAAGAATATTGCTCATAGTACACAAATTTCATCTTCTCTCAATTATAAAAAAAATTCCAATTTAGCTGGTAAGTTTTGAGTAAGGTTTTATAATATAACCATTAATTGATTATTTCTATAAGCTTCCTAGGGCCTTTAAAAACAATACTTCTAGTCATAGTAAAATATGCTTTAAAGATTTTCTAGATTCAGTATAATTAGTAACAGTCCTTTAAAGTTGGATACCTTATTTATGAGATGTTCGGTAACAACTTCTCTTAGTCCAGTGTAGAGCTTTTCTCCATGTTTATGCAAAACCATTGTATATGCATTTCTATAGAGCTCCTCAAAACTAAGACCACTGTTATTCTTACGCTGGATTTCTTGAATTGCATTTTTCAGAAGGTCCCAAATGCTGTTTACATATTTTTCATCCATGGTCATCTGTAATATCCAAGAGAGAGAAAGAGACAAAAACAAAAACAAAAACCAATGGTTGAAAATTTGTCTGTATTTATCCATATAGTAAATATTTTATTATATAGCAATGATGATAAAGCTGTATGACTTATAAAGATGTTAACAATCTGTTTTAAATAAAATACATTTACAAAGTTTTTAGTTGATAGAAACCATTTTTTAAAAACCATTTAAGACCTCCTTCCCTTATCTACAGCAGAACCCCTCCATTTAAATAAAATCACAATCTCTGTTATTAATACTTGTTTTAGCAGAAATTTATTTAGTAAAACACAAGCTCAGAGATTTCCTCTCCTGTAGATTTACAGAGCTCCTTGATAAAATTAAAGATTGAGGAAAGACCTGCAATTAAAAACAAAAACAAACAAAAAACAAAAATAAAGCCCCACATTTTCTGTTTAACCTAGCATACTCTAATTTTCCTCCTTTCCCAGATTAGATTCCATGGTCCATCATTTGTAACTACCTTTTATATAAGATTTGTTTTAAATCACTTGTCCCTCTCTCCCTTCCTCCAAAAATATGCCATTAGAAGATTCAACTGCCTACCTACATGTACCCATGTAGTTGAAAGTAAATGAAGAATAAAACATATGCTCATATTTAATTCATCTCAGTTTAAATTCATGATCACTAATCACAAATGGGTCCTTAGTTTAACCCCACAATCCTATTTTTCTCTATTCTACTGATCCAAATATCCTAGATGATTTTACCATCTTTCCGGATAATGATTTGCTTCCTGTTCTGAGAAAACAGGAACCTGAAAAGAAACGACAAATTCACCATATCCACTAATCTAGTTGACTGCATACCAATATAATTTGTTAGTTCTTGTGCTACTACCAAATTAGTGCCCAATTCTTATACTCAAATTATAGCACAGGGACAAAAAACACAGGTAAATTCTAGGAACTTGTTATAAATTGAGAATTTCAGAACCCCAACCCAGACTTACAGAACCATAACTTGCATTTTAACAAGAGCCCTGGGTGATTCATACACCGAATGAAGTTTAACAAGTAATGCTCCAGTTCCATAACAACTCATCTATTCAAGGACCCCTGTTGGCAATATTCCTTCCTAGCATTATCAATTTTTTTCTCTTCTCTGCTATATAATTTCCATCTGCATTCAAAATCATCAGTTTTCCATCTTAAAAACAAACAAATCCTCACAACCCCACATATTTCTCCAGCACCACCTTATTTCTCTCTTTTCCATTTATAGCAAAATCACAAGGCAAGGAGGGAGAACTCTATGTTGACTGTATCTAAATCCTATTTCCCCCACTATATCTTGAAGTCTCTCTAGTAAGGATCCCTATTTTCTACCATTTCACTGAAATTACTCTTGAAGAGGTCACCAGTGACTTCCACAATGCTAAATTTAAAGGTCAAAGTCTCAGTTCTTATCTTACTTGACCTATCTAGCAGCAATTCAAAAAGCTGATCATTCCTACTTGAAACAGATTTCTCACTTGCCTTCCAAGCTATACTATCTTTCTACTCTACTGGCTTGTACTTGTCAGTCTGCTTACCAGTTGTTGTTCTTCACAACTGCCAACCCTAAGGATCAAGTTCTAACCCTTTTTGTCCATCCACACAGTTTTTAAAAGGTGAAGTTGATTGCATCTATTCTCATGGCTTTATTAACCTCAAAATTTACATATGCTATTTGGCCCTCTCCCCTAATATTGGTTATATTTTCAGCTTCCCACTCAATGTTTCTACTTGAATGCCTACTAGCAAGTCTAAAACAGAAACCCTAATCTTTCCCCCTAAATCTACTTCTCATGCAGCCTTCTCCAAATGAGCAAATGTCCAATCCATCCTTATAATTGCCAAAAAGCAGCTTGTAATCCTCCTTACACCCTTACCTCACTTTTAATCCAACTGAAATTCTATTGTCTCTACCTTCAAAGTACATCCAGAATCTAAGCCCTCCTCACCACTTCCATTGTTACTAGCCTTGTCCAAACCATCATCTCTCAGTTTACTGCAATAGCCTCCTATCTGGTCTCAGTTTCTGCTCTTGGCCTATAATCACAGAGCAACCAGACTGACCTTCTGAAAACATAAAATCAAATCATGTAACTCATCTCATTTTGCTTGGAGTTGAAGTTCCAACTCTAAGATACAAAGCCTTATTTGAATCTGATAATCTCTCTGACATGATTGCTCACTCAGCTCCAGCCATACCAGATTCCTTGCTATTCCCTGTATATGTCAAACAAGTCCACTTCAATGTATCTGTATCTGCTACTCTCTGAAATGTTCTTACTCTAAATACTTTCATGGTTCACTCATGTATCAACCTCAAAACTCTGCTCAAGTGTCACCTTAAAATGAAGCTTTAACTGCCTACTCTTTTTAAAATAGCAGCAGCCTCCTACTAGTGACCCTCAAATTCCAACCCCACATTCCGGATTTTTCTTGGCATCTCTCCTCCCAGCCAATGTCAGCTCCATGAAGACTGGGATTTTTTTCACTGCTGAATCCCTCAGCCACTAAAATCAGACCTGGCATTTAACAGGCTCTTACTAATATACTTGTTGACTGAATGATTTCCTGCTAATCTTTGGGTAAGGAGCCCTTTTTGTGCCTGCCACATGAACTTTACAAGTTCTGTATTCACAATCTGGGAAACCCTGCAACATACATACTCTGACCTGAAATGAACAGAAATTACTGAGTTAATACAATTTCCTCCAAAGAGGGCAGGAAAAAAAACACCACCACACCAACTTTTGGAAATGAACTATATGCTTATTGTATTGATTTTGCTGATCGTTTTCACAGGTAAATACTTACCTCCAAACTCATCAAGTTGCATACATTAAATATGTACAGTTTTTTGTATATCAATCACACCTCAATAAAGTGGTTTAAAATAAATCTTCTTTAAGCCACATCTGATGGGTATGAATGTCAAAGAGAAAGGAGGAGGTAGGCAAAACAGTTCTTTCAATCATTCCACCAATAAAATACCAGCTCAGCTATCAATGAAGAGGATTCTTAAGCAGATGATACAAACTGAGTCTTATTATTCTAAACTTTTTTAGAGAGCTTAAGAGAACAATGCCTTTCCTTTATTTAAATATTCAAATCCCAGATCTATTGGACTTTGCTGAAATGGCTTTAATTGAATTTACCCCTGCACCTAAACTATTTTTTTGATTAGATATCCTGATACAGAGGGTGCCATCCACATAAAACATAAATAAGATGTATATAGCTATTTAAACTTTTCAAAAATAAAAGATGCAACCCATGTGATAATAACTTTAATAGTCCATGTACAGTAGTCTCTCTTATCCACAATTTTGCATTCTGTGGTTTCAGTTACCCACGGTCAACCATGGTCTGAAAACACTAAATGATAAATTCCAGAAATAAATAATTCATGATTTTAAAATTATGAGCCATCTGAATAGCATGATGAAATCTGGCACCATCCTGTTGTGTGCAGCCCAGGACAGGAATCATCCCTTTGTCCACTTGGCAGCTATCTTGGTTATCAGATCAACCATCACTGTTTCACAGTGCTGTGATTCACGTAACCATTATTTTATTTAATAGTGGCCCCAAGGAGCAAGAGTAGTGATGGTGGCAGTATGCCAAAAAGAAGCAAAAAATGCTTCCTAGAAGTGCAAAGGTTAAAGTTCTCAATAAAAAAAATTTCACATGCTGGGAGGTTGTGAAGATAGCAAAAATGACTCTTCTATCCATGACATTGTGATAAAGGAAAAATAAATATGTGCTAGTTTAGCTATCATACTCCAAACCACAGTAGTTACAGCCACAATGCATGATGTTATAGTTATATTAGTGTGATGTTTTAAGGATTTAAAAGTGTAAAAATAATTATTTGTGTGATTTAAAATAGGAATGAGAGCATTTACTTTTATGAGTGATTTATAGTTTAAGTGTGAATTGTATTTCTGATCTTATTCTGATTTTATTTTAAGTAAAAGAAATTATTTGAAATGTGTTTTAGGCTTAGTATAAGTAACTCCATATAATGTGACTTGAATCATTTTTTTAAAACTTGAGTTTTAAAACTGACTTTGAGCCCCTAACTGTGTGAACACCCTAACATGTGCTTATCTGAAAAGCTGTAACTGTGTGGATGCCCTAACAAGTGTTTATCTGGAAAGTTGGAAACTGAGGCAAAAGGTACCTGGAGAGCACCCGATTAGGCATACTGAAGATCTATTGGTTGCACCCAGAAGGAACAAAGGAACACCCAGAAATGGCCATAAAAGAAGGGACCTAGAGGCACTGGGCAGAGACCACGAAGCGCTCCTCCACCCGCCATGCTCTCCCACTCTCTTCTCCCTGTTTGAAATACTGCATGAGACTCTGCCTGAGTGAAGCTGTCACTCTGCCTGTGAGCCAAACTTCTGAGGCCTCGTTCCTGACCCAGACGCTGCAGCAACGTGTTCCTGTCCAGTGTGTGTGTCTGTCCGTGCGGATCTCCAGGTGACCTGCCTAGGCTTCTGGAAACCACCAGGACTCTGGTAAATAAACCTTGGGATTCATGCATTTTAACTCTTGTTTCTGTGTTTAGTTTATGCTCGGTCAATTTTAGTTAAGTACTGTGGGCAACAGTTCTCTGGCTGAGGGACCTCAGTCACCTGTGCATAAGTTTCCACCTGAGGGTGAGTTGGAACAGTTGGCATCACGAACAGGATTAATTCAATTGGGAAATTTAAAGGAGGAGAGTGCTAAATTTGAAAACTCCAAATTCAAAGTGAAATTTTTCCTGGGCACAGTGGGAGATTAATTGGCTTAAAGGGGAGAAGCAGGGGAACTTTGACTTGCCTGAAAGCCAGTGGCTAGCCTACTTTGAGTCGTTCACCGGAGACCAACGGTTACTGGTGAGGCAGAAACCAACCAGTGTGTCTTTCTCTGAAAAACCCGGAGCTTGCTATGAGCATAGGTCGTTCACCCTAAGGGCAC